TTTAATCTAGGAAAAGCCATATCTGGGGCTCCTATATATATAGGTACAAATCAATTCCCATAACCTCCTATTAAAACTGGCATAACTAAAAAAAATATCATTACAAAAGCATGAGCTGTGACTATAACATTATATAAATGATCATCTCCTATTACTCTTCCTGGTGCTGATAGTTATATTCTAATTAACATACTTAAAGCAGTTCCTATCATTCCAGAAAATGCGCCAAAAATTATATATAAAGTTCCTATATCTTTGTGATTAGTTGAAAACATTCAACGTGTGATTCAATTATACACTTATTTTTTGAAAAAATAAATAATTTTCTAATTTCCCTATTATTGGAATAATAAATAAAAAGTAAAAAAAATAAAATAAACTAGAAATTATACTAATCAATATATAAGGGTTTTCTATAGGTTTAGAACCTAATCAAGTTAATAAAATAAAATTTGCTATAAACACTCAATATAATAATTTCCCTATTGGTCTAAAAGTTAAAGAAAAAAATTTATTAGTATGTAAAAATGGAATAATAAATAATATTACTATACTTAAAATTAAAGCTAAAACTCCTGCTAATTTATTAGGAATAGATCTTAATATGGCGTAAGCAAATAAAAAATATCATTCTGGCATTATATGAACAGGGGTAACTAATGAATTAGCATTGATAAAATTTTCTGGGTCTCCTAAAGTATTAGTATAAAAAAATACTATGAATAGTAAAATAAATATTAATATAAAGAATCCATATATATCTTTTATTGCAAAATATCAGTGAAATGGAACTTTATCAAAGTTGCTATTAATCCCTAAAGGATTGCTTGATCCAACACTATGAATTAACACTATATGAATTAAAATTAATGATGCTAATACAAACGGAAATAAATAATGCAGGCTAAAAAATCTACCTAAGGTAGCATTATTTACACTAAATCCACCTCAAATTCATTGAACTATATCATCCCCTATATATGGAATTGCAGATAAAAAATTTGTGATAACAGTGGCCCCCCAAAAAGACATTTGTCCTCAAGGTAAAACATAACCTATAAAAGCAGTAATCATCATTACTATAAATATAATTATACCCGAAAATCAAATAGGTTTTTTTTGATAACCCCCATAATATAAACTTTTACCTATATGAACATAAACACAGATAAAAAACAAGGAAGCTCCGTTAGCGTGAATTGATTTTAGTAGAAATCCGTAATTTACGTCTCTACATATATGAACTATTGATTTAAAAGCTAAAATTATATCTCCACTATAGTGCATGGCTAAAAAAATACCAGTAACCAATTGAATTGCAAAGCACAACCCTAGTAAGGACCCAAAATTCCATAAATAATTTATATTTGATGGAGAAGGAAGATCGATTAAAGTAGAATTAATATGTTTTATAAGATGATTATTTTTTCTAATTCTCATTATATAAAAATATTAACATAAGAACTAAATGTTATAGAATTAATTAATATATTAGGATAAATTCCTAATATAACAATAAATATTATTAATGGCAGTAGACTTTGAAACTCGAAATTTACTATATCTCTTGAAAATTTTAAATGAATTGAATTAGAACCAAAAAACATTCTATTATAAACTCATAAAGAATATATTAAATTTATAAAAACACCTAATAAGATTAATAAAATTATAAATAAAGAAAATTTAAAAGCTGAAATTATCAAAAATAATTCAGCTATAAAATTTAATGTTAATGGAAATGAAATATTAGCTAAAATTAAAATAAATGTAATTATACTCAAGATAGGCATAGTAATAGTCAGACCTCTAAAATATTTTATAATTCTAGAATGAAATCTGAAATAAACAATTGAAGTTATAATAAATAGACCTGAACTAGATAGACCGTGAGCAATCATCATTAATATTGATCCTGTTAATCCTTCAATAGAATGTGAAAAAATACCTACAGTTACTAAACCCATATGAGATACTGAAGAATAAGCAATTAAACGTTTTATATCTATTTGACAACATGTAGTCAAAGCGCCATAAACTATGGCTATTATACTTATTATAATAATTAATGGATAATAAAATTGAGAGGCTAAAGGAAACATTGGATAACAAAATCTTATTAATCCATACCCCCCCAATTTTAAAAGTATTCCTGCTAATAAAATTGAACCTGCTATTGGTGCTTCTACATGAGCTTGTGGGAGTCAAATATGAAATGGTACCATTGGTGTTTTTACAGCTAAACCTATAAAAAACCCTATAAATAATCAAAATTGAATATCATATGGGATTTTTATAATTGATAAATTTTCATAATTAGTAGTTCCAATTAAAGAATATAATTTAAATATACTTATTAACATTAACAAAGATCCTATTAAAGTATAAAAGAAAAAATAAAAAGCAGCTTTAATTTTTTCTTCTCTGTACCCTCATATACCAATCATAATAAAAACCGGTATCAATATGCTTTCAAATAAAATATAAAATCATAATACATCTAAAATAGAAAATACCCCTATCAATAAAATAACTGATATAAATAGTAATATATTAAATTCTTTTTTAAAATACTTTATTGATCTTAAACTAATCAATATACATATAGGAATTAATAAAATACTTAATCCAATAAAAAATATAGATATTCCATCAACAGAAAGAATAAAATTGTTCCAATTAACAAAAATTGAATTAATTAACAATCAATTAAAATCTATACTAAATTGAAAATTAAAAATCTTATAGTTTAAAACAAAAAATACTATATAATATAATAATAGTATTAAAGATCAAAATAAAGAAATATTAAAGATATTACTACTATTTCTTTTAGTTAATAAAATATTTAATATACTTAAAAATGGGATTAATAAAAGAAAAATTATATACATCATTTATTAGATAAACCTCAAAAAGCTCATAATAAAGAATTTGTTATAATAATAAATGATAAACTTAATGGTAGATAAGACTTTCATAATAAACTCATTAATTGATCATATCTTAATCTAGGAAAAAAAGTTCTTACTCAAATAAATAGAAATATAAACAGAATCATTTTTAAAAATAAAATAAAATTATTGATAAAAAAATAATTACTTCAGTTTCCTAGAAATAAAATTACAAAAAAAGCGCTACTAAATATTATATGAGAATATTCTGCTAGAAAGAATAAAGCAAAAGACATTGAAGAATATTCTACATTATAACCAGAAACTAATTCTGATTCTCCTTCAGTTAAATCAAATGGAGCTCTGTTAGTTTCTGCTAGTAAACATATAAAAAACATTATAGCTATAGGTCATAAAGGAAAAATATAAGAAATACTTTGACTTTGTGAGTTTATTAAAGAATAAATATTTAAAGTTCCAGCACATAAAATACAAGAAAAAATAATTAAACTTATACAAACTTCATAACTTATCATTTGAGCGGCAGCTCTTAATGAACCTAAAAAAGCATATTTGGAATTACTTGATCATCCAGATAAAAGAATAGAATATATGTTTATAGAAGAAATAGCAAAGATAAACATAATTCCCAAATTAAAATCAAAAATTAAATTATTAATTCCTAGTGGAATGATTATTCAAATAAGTAATGATATGCTTAAAGCTAATATGGGAGAAAATAAATAAAGAAAAATATTTACATGATTAGGAATAATTAATTCTTTTGAAAATAATTTTACACCGTCAGCTAAAGGTTGTAATAATCCATATATTCCTACTACATTAGGACCTTTTCTATTTTGACTATAGCCTAAAATTTTTCTTTCTGCTAAAATTAAGTAAGCTACAGAAACTAAAACTGGAATAACAATTGTTAAAAACTTTACAATTTCTAAAATAATTAAATATATATTTTTCATTATCCTTTTAATAAATTTAACAATTTTAAAGAAATAGATCCTTTTATTTTATAAAAAGCTACTATTATTGATAATCCAATAGCTGATTCAATAGCAGCTATAGTTATTACATATATTGCTATTATTTGTCCCTCTAAAGAAAAATTAGTTAGTGAAGTTAACATAAAATTCATTGAAATTGATAGTAATAAAATTTCTATACTAACTAAGATTAATATTATATTACTTCTATATATAATTATTCCTATAATACTAATACAAAACATAATTACTACTAATAAATTAAAATCAAATAACATTCTCATTCTAGACCCCCTCTTAATCATTCATAAACTAATCCTATAACTAATATCATTATAAATAAATATATAATAAATTGTGAATAATAATCTATTAAGTTTGAATTTACTGATCATGGAAATAAATAAATTATTTCTAAATCAAATACTAAAAATAAAATAGAAATTAAAAAAAATCTTATAGAAAATGGTTGACCAGTCGAATGAAAAGGATTAAAACCACATTCATAGATAGAAACCTTTTCTTTATCTGGTGATTTAAAAGAAAGAAAAATTGAAAAAAATAAAACTATAAAACTAAGAATAAAACTTATGGATAAATAAATAAACAAATTTAATTTCATGAATTATTTCTTAAATGTTGAATAAATATTTTTTGTTTTTTTGAGTTAGAATTATAAGTAATTGTTAAAACAATTACTCCTATCATGCCTATGGATAGAATAATACTAATTAATATAAAATTTATAGAATATTTAGAGTAAAAAAATAAAGCTAGATTATGAAAATTGTGATGGCTTATTAAATTAAAATTTAAAAAATCATTATTTAAATGATAAGAAAGAAATATATCTTTATTAATAATTTTTATTGTTAACAAACTTAGAATAATTAAAATTATGGGGATTATATTGTTTATATTATTTGGATTATATCTAACATCATTATTACAAACAAAAATAGTATTACTATAGCCCCTACTTATATTATTATCAACAATAATGACAAAAATTCCAAGTTTAAATTAATTAATAAAGCAAAGGAAAAAAAAAATACAGTTACTAATCAAAAAACAGAATGAATGGGGTTTAAAGAATTAATACACATTAAACACCCTAAAATTATTAAAATAGAAAAAAAAAAGAAAAATTCATTCATGATTGGATTATAAATCACAGGGAAAAGTTCCCTTTCCCCCACTATGTTACGACTTACTCTATCTTTTATGATCAAGGCGACGGGCTATTTGTATTAATATTTGCACTTACTCATTAAAACCTTATATTTTTAATTACTATTAAATTCTCTTTTAAATCAATTTACATTGATTATCCAAATATAAATTTGTATTATAATATTTATTGTAGTACATAATATCCCTTTTCATAAAGGCCATAATATTTGACTTTATTCTTTTAAAAATTATGCTTTAGCTATAAGTTAAAGCTGAAGACAACCATGCAACACTTGTATTTTCAAGAAAAGGTAAGGTATTTCGCGGATTATCGAATTAAATTACATACTTCTCTAATTAGAAAAATAAACAACCAAAATATTTGATTTTCACCTGTTTAGGTATACTGTTCAGATTAATTATTAACAAAAAAATTACCAGGGTATCTAATCCTGTTTAATTATCATTTATTCAAGTTTCTAGTTATTTCGTAAAGTTTTTAAAATTTTTAATTATTGTATATTTTACCAAATCAATAATCTTAATTTTACAATCTTAATTCTATACACATTTAACCTATTTTTTTATAAAAATTTATTTCTTAAGTATCACCGCGTCTGCTGGCACTTAATTAGACAAAATTTACGATTACTTTATATCTAAATTACTTTAATTGTATAAATTTCTTTACTGCTGTTAATTTTTCTTTGTTTCAGTAAAAACATGGCTTAAGCTATGCGTCTTAGGATAAAAATATATTAAAATTTTTAACCTGATACAAAACAGGTATTACCCTATTTTACTCATTTATTTGCTTCCACTAACATGTATAAACGATTCTCATACTTTTATTTCTCCATAATCAAAAGAAAATTGCTCTTATTCAAAAATAAAGAGAAAGGAATCGAACCCTTATATTCTGGTCATGAGCCAAATAACTTTCCATTAGTTTACTCTTCTTCTTTTAAAGGATCAAATAATTAAAATTCTTAAAAATTTTCCTAGTCATCACTTTTAATGAATTACCTTTTATAAATCATTCAACCCATTAAAAACAAGGGAATCAAAAAAACTTTTCGGTTTTCTTCTCTCCTAAAAGAGGATCACCCGACCCCCCCCCCAGTCCAGGCGCAGCACTGGCGCACCCCCTGCTGCGGCTATCGCAGGGGGCCCCGCGCCGCACCAACCCCCCCCCCCCCAATAAATTTCAATAAATGAATAATTGTATAGAATCGATTTTTGCAAAGATTAGTATGTGAAATCTCATAATACTTTATTTGCTTATTTAAATGTTCTTCTGCATTAGCATTAAAGTATCCATACCCCCATTTAAACAACTTGGAATATGTTTCCATTAATATACCAAGATGATTTCTCAAATAATGCATATATGGCATTTTCGAAATTTTATTTGTTCCAGCATTATGTAGAAATAGCTGAAAATATGAAGGAACATTGAAGGATTTTATTCGATCAGGATTATGGTGAATGGAACGAACATCCCTGTAAAAGTTGATATACTGCATGTTAATATATGTATATAAGAAAATAATAGTTTTAACTAAAGAATATTATTGGTATTTCCAGCATTAAACTTAAGTCAACTTAATCAATTTACTAAAGTTACTTTTTACTAATAACTATAAAATTAAAATAATTAAAATAAAAAATGTACTGAGCCAAATCAGCCCATGCATTGTAAAGTTGAAGGATATGTTTTAATTTTTGACTTTTTTGAGACTGCCATGAAACACCTTGATTCTCAACAAAAACAGTAAGGAAAGTATTTATATTTGCTTCTAAGATTTTGCAATCATTTCCAATCATTCTCAAATTCTCTGTTCCATCATAATGTTTCTTTTTGCTAAAAATAGTTATGTGCAGTATTAGATTAAATGGTTATGAAAACCATTTCAACTTTGTCCATTGAACTAAGTAACTAAAAATTATTTATTATATACACTCAAGGCCGGCGCGATAGGGGGGTATCACACACCCCCTCCCCCATCAATGATTTTTAGTCAGCAAACTGGACCCTTAGTCGGAAAATTGGCCCGTTTTAGACTAGTTTTTTTTTTTGTTTAGTCGGCAAAAATTGTAATGACACCCCCCCTCCCCCACGTGACACCTACTCGCGCCGGCCCTGTATACACTATTAATTAAATAATATATTTATATAGTATATTGTGCTAAATTTCAGCATAGGTAAAACAAGAAAACATGTAGCACTTCTTAAGACTCCCACTTATCAATAACTGGAACTGTTTACAATTAACTAAATATTTTCTAATTTCTGTACTCAAATTTAAAAAAATTATAAAATAATAACTAAAAATAAAATAATATCTACACATTATATCACACATAAATCAATAATGATATATTTACCTTTCAAAATAACAATCAAGTTGAAATGCTAAATACGATCACCCAATCTTTCTCAATCCTTCAGACAAAAGGTTTTCTTGTGAACGCTTATTTACTACATCAAATAAAAATTTCCAAAGATATCTATGTTGTGCCAAAATTAAATGCAAGCCACATGGTGGCATGAAATCAATAATCAATCTCAAATTAACACTGTTCCCTGAAATAATAAATTATGTTTTAGAACACTTTTTATGATTTTCTTATTTCAGAAGTATCTAAGTGTGTTATTTTAAGATTCTTGTTATAAACATAAAATTAAACTAATAAAAAATTTTTTACGCATTGTCCATAGTTGTCAGCAGTAAACTTCTTATATTGTGCTGAATCTTTGTTTGATCTAGGGCCTAGCTCAACCCATGCATGTTCCCTACGTTCTTGTATATCAGCAACTAAATGAATAGGATCAATTTTTTTATTTACAGCGGCCCAGTCATAAATTGGCAACTTGCAATGATCGCAACCATATGTTTGATTACTGGAGCATTTACCAATAACTTCGTTAACAAAACTAAGATCTGCAACTAGAAATAAAATCACATTAAAGTGTTCAGTTTTACTACCATTAATACACACTATTAATCCATTTTTAACTAGATTTGTCAAATCTGTGTATACATTTTGCACATGTAACTTAATATTCTCATGACTTTCTTTACCTCGCCAAAGAGTTGTGATAAATTGTCCATATGGGTTGTTAATCATAGGAGTTAAATTTAATATTGAAAAAGAAGTTTGCTCAGTTGGATAACGACTAGCAGCACGAAAATTATCTCCGGTGTCAGTCAGAATTAAAGTTTTGCTATTTATGTCAAACTTTTCATAAAGAATCATACATAACTTGTTGTTGTTCAATGGAAAAAAACTCAAATTTTTCATAAAGAGAAGGGGTTGATAGGACTCTTCGTAGTGTTTCTTCAACATTACAAGAGTAACCAAAACACTCACAGTCGACACTAGCATAATTATGAGCATGTTGAATTAGACCTACATCTATATTAAGACAGTATTTTCTAAGGTTGTCATATGTAGGAATGTTTATATTATTTTTCTTGAGAATACCTTTTAAAACTTTATAAGATCTCTGTGAAATTTCAGTTTTATCCATCATTATTGAAGCAGTTTGTTGACAATCAAGATTTTTAACAGATGTTAAAAACCGAAGCCTTTCAACAATATGAACTAAGAAATCAGTATTTTCATCTATAACTTCTTCAACAATTTCTGGGCACTCATTTATTATGTAGATCACAAAACCTAAAAAAGTAATTTAAGTTTTATAGATTCAATAAATTAATCAAAATAAAATATAGAACATTAGAACTACTTACTTTTTACATCACCATAGCTTGCTAACTCTACTAATGAATGAATTGTCTTATTCCAAGATTTTATTATAAAATCTTGGAATAAGACTTTCTTGGAAAAACTAGTTCGTTTCTCAGTAAAAAAGCTATAAAATTTATAGCTTTTTTACTGAGAAGCGAACTAGTTTTTCCAGCACCACGTTTTCTTATATTCAGTAAATCAACTATCACACTGTGTTGTTTTGTTTAATGTTATCAAAAGATGGTGTATCAAATTTTATTATTGGACAAGATGTTTTATTGATTACTTCACTTCTATCCAAGCTAAAAAATTGAAAACCAGACCAGTTTTTAGAACTAATATAGTTTAATTTGCTAAAAGCATCTTTAACAACAGAAGTGGAATGCAATGACTTGCAATCAATTAATAAATCAGAAACAATAATTCGGTAAACAGGACCATCATCTGATTAATCAATCTTCCTTGTTATAACCACATTAACATCATTCAGCTTTAATAACCTTTGTGCTTTATACCCTGCTTGAATACGACATTTAACTGATCCAATTGTTTTTATGTACAACTAACTGTCACAATTTATCGCAGTACCATAACTTACAACACCTAACCATGAGCACAATCTTGTGTTTGTGGGGGATGTTACATTAGATATGAGGGATTGATTGTTTTCTGCAATCTTCAGATCCGGATAAACTTAAACGAAACTTGAAATCTTTAGAGTCTAATTCATAAAATCGTTTTCCATTGAGTCTACCTTTTGTTTTTACACCAAAAAAGCAAATAACCTTACGATAAACTGATGTTGGATTAGTGCAGATATATCTTTTTTGTATATTATTATCACGCATAACTATTCCTTCATATAAGGGTTTTTCATTTAATGATTTGATAACATTTAAAATTATAAATGATTAAATCATTTATAATTTTAAATGTTAACAAGTCATTAAATGGAAAACCCTTATATTATAAAAGTTTTTACTATCTTAAATACTTTACTATCGTAAATACTAAAAATAAAAAGATTTATTTTAACGTATATCTTTTGAACTCTTGATTTTAAACTTATTTCACTATTTAAACATGGAATGGATAGGAATATTAAACTTTGGTGAAAAAGTTGACTGTGATGCATGGGATACAGAACCATTTAATGGGTATTCAGCAAAAAGAAAGTTTGTGTCGAATTTGGGAAAAGAATCATTTAATAAATAGGGTAATAAATTATTACCCTATTTATTAAATGATTCTTCTCGAATTCTGGAGAAGAATCATTTCACTATTTATCCATCCATGTTTAAATAGTGAAATAAGTTTAAAATCAAGAGTTAAAAAGATATACTTTAAAATAAACCTTATTATTTTTAGTATTTACGATAGTAAAGTATTTAAGGTAGTAAAAACTTTTCTCGCTTTCAACGCGGTATAACACAGAACAGAAATATGACAAAAACAATTATTTTATTACAAAAATATGAATGTCAAAAGTATGAATGTCAAAAATATGAAAGTCAAAGACAACGAGATGCTACTATGATAAGAGATTATATATGTTCTCTAGTCAGAAAAGATGAAATGCATTCAAGAAAATTGCGATCATAAAAGTACTACTAACCTTAAAGAAAGAGTTTGTAGTAAAAAAAGTGTACTTTAGTTGTCAGATTATACTAAAGAATTGTATTTTTTCTTTTTGTTTTTACTTAAATACATTTTCCTAATCTTCAGATGTTTCATTCAACATGAAATTCATAAAAATACTTAAAGAAACTAAAATAAAACGGAAAAAAATTTGTCATAGATAAATGTGTTTAGTATTACTGCAGCGATTTCAGTGGCGCTCTGTAAATAAAGGCTTCTGACTTGAAGTATCATAAAAAAGTTTTTAATAGTAAAAAAAAAGATCTTTTTTTTTTTTAAATAAATGACCCTAAAAAAAAATTTTTTTACTTAACTGTATATATCGCCATCCGTCAATGAATCAAAATGAATCCACTTTAACTTATATCCTCTGCTTAAAGAGCTAAGCGAAGAACAGAAATTAATTTTTCTAACGGGTGATTTCAATTCAGATCTACTTAGTTATATTAAATCTAATTCTATTTTTCATTTTCAATTTCATTGCATAACTTATGGTATTATTCGTATAGCCTTTCCATAATCATATCTACTCGTATAACAAATCTCAAACATTTATTATTATTAGATTTAAATCTTAAACCTTTATTGATAACATCTTTATAAACTTTTACTCCTTTAATCATTTTTTAGGTAACTTAACAATTTTTATCTTTCGAGCACAAGACACAATTTTTATGTGTTCCTAGCTTAGCCAGCCATCCAAACAAAAGATGCACAACCAGCCTCCAAACAAAGTTTTCAGACGATGTTTCAAATATTTTGCTCCTAACAAATTTGTGTTAAAATTTTTTAAAACAAAATGTGCACTCGTGATTACAAATGATGACAAAATGAATGAAACTAATAACTTTTTTAAAAAACAATATTATCATTAAAATGCTCTCTTTAAGAGTATAACCAAAAATCAAATCTCAAAAAAAAACTCAAATTTAAACCTTAGAACTCTAAAGACTTACTTAAATTTATTTCTGTGAAAAATAAACTATATAAAAAATTTGCAAGATGTAAAATTATTAATATTAGAAATAAACTCTTCACAAAGTTTAATACTATAGAAATAAAATTAAAAATTTATTAAAAAGTAGTAAAAAATCATACTAAATATCTTTTTTTAGTGACAACATAAAAATTACATGGAAAGGCATTAAAAAAACCATAAATATTAATACTTAATAATCATCACAAAATCACAAACATCACATTATGTACCTACTCAGCTTAATCTGAATAAAAATATCACAGACCATGCCGTTATTTCAATATATTTAACAATTTTTGTTTTGTTCGTAATTTTTGTTTGTAAAAAACTACTCAATGAAATCATACTATTAAAATGTGTTCATAGTGACATTCTTAATTTATCTATGCTAATTCCTTTTCTATTGATCCTGTACTTGAAGATGAGATATCTAATTTTGTTAATAGTACTTGAAAAATGATGAGATATCTAATCTTGTTAATAGTACTTGAAAAATGATGAGATATCAATAATAACAACAGTACTTATAA